TTCGGTTTATTTAGGGTTTAGGGTTTGTAACAGCTCTACTACGACGTCCACAATTCCTACACACACAACCACACATGCGGCTTCAATATCTATGTGCCCTAATGTCCAACCACAGCATCTAAATCGCAAACCCCAATAGGAACCTACGGAGCTGTAGATGGATTTACCGCACTGTCCATCGTCTGGATTGTTACGTCTCGAACGCAGGTTGTCTAGCCACAGGTTGCGATTATGGTTGCAGGTTGGACCCAGATCCCCGCGGGATGTGGAACCCCAGTTATATCAGCTAGCAATAGGGGTTTAGGGGTTTGAGGGTTTAAGGGTTTAGGGATGTAGGGGTTTGGGGGTTAGGGGGTTTACGGGTTTAGGGATTAGGGGTTTATAGGGTTCAGGGGTTTATAAGATTCAGGGTTTCCGATTTTCGGCTTTAGGGGTTTCGGGGTTTAGGGGTTCAAGGTTTAGGGGTTATTAAGGGTTGTGGGGGTTACGGTTTTGGTTTTAGCACTTCAGGCTTGGAAGTTGATTGGTTTGGGTTGAATTTACAGTTGCAGTTGTGTTCTGATGTTCAAACATAAAACAGAGGTTGTGAGTTTCGTGGGATCTTCGACAGGGTCAAAAGAAGAAGACACCCGTCTCTTGAGTTAAGAGACGGTCGTCTTCTTCTGACCCTGTCGAAGATCCCACGGATGCCGTGCCTGGCCCTTTGGAGAATCTCTCGGATGCCGTGGGTGCCAACATGGACACCAGCGCGGCTGGCACGCCGTGCATTCGAGGTTCCAGGCGATGGAGCTCCAGATGCGCTCGGTTCCCGAGCGCATGTGGAGGCTTTACAATATTAAGGCCAGGCATCAGATGCTTCCAGGATGTGCGGGTGCCTGGCGTAGCTGAGGAGATCTGCTTGCGACGGTGTGGAACATTCCTCGCGGTGGTCCGTGCCAAAGATTACTTTCCCAAGGATCTCATGGATCGAGAGACACCGGGCATCGTCAAATCGTTCTCAAAGTCCTTGTAAGAATGTCTATACGAGTTTATCCGTAGGAGCTTCAAACAGAATTTCTTTAATCCGATGAGAAGAACTTCTAAAAGAATTTATTCAACACTGTTAGAAGAACTTCTGTAATGTTTTCTTAAACGTGCAACAACTTTTGACTTTTCGTCGAAAGAAGCCCCAAACCTTAAACTAAAACGTACAAGGAGTTGTAAACCCTAAGCCCCAAACCCTAAAACCCTAAACCCTAAAACCCTAAACCCTGAAACCCTAAACCCTAAACACCAAACCCCTAAAACCCAAACCCTAAAACCCTAAACCCTAAACCCTGAAACCCCAAAACCCAAACCCAAACCCTGAAACCCCAAACCCTAAAACCCAAACCCTAAACCCTAAAACCCAAACCCTAAAACCTAAAACCCTAAACCCTGAAACCCTAAACCCTAAACCCTAAACCCTAAAACCCAAAACCCAAAACC